TGATTAGTAATCTATCATTGATACACTTTCTATCCTTTTTAAGGTATCCCATCCCAATAATAATGAGAAGAAGTACCTGTTCAAAGCCTAAAATTCTTAATAATATCAAGCCTCTTGCTAAATATAATAACACTACTTCAAATCGAAGTTCTAAAGGTCAAAGCTCTGATAGTCAAACTGTACAAGGACCAAATCCTAAACGCTGTAAAATGAAAGTGTCGAATGTTGAGGAATTGGGTAAACTTAGTTTAGTTTTTTATGAATATAATATATGTAATACAAAAGAAGGTAATTTTGATTGTTTTTATTAATAAAGAAAATGTTGATGTGGTGGAATCTGAAACTGTATTTAGCTAAAAACAACCTGTTTTAAATAAAGATAACGAAGATGATGATTCCCTTTTTAAAAATCCTGATCCAAATATGGTAAAGCATGTCTTATGATATGTACCTTTGAACTATCGAGCAGAACAGTACCAAGAAATAAATGAATCTGACGATATTACGCAAAATTCTACTCAAAGATATCAAAAATTCGCAACACCGATTTTATCAACTTCACAAAATGCAAACAATTCCCAATTGAATATTTCAACAAATCAAGTATGACATCGATACTATTGTTTATAAATTCTTTTATTTGCATTGTCAAAACAATTATTTTTATAGGCAATATCGGAAATGTTGGCGACTTTAATCAATGAAACAAAGATTATGTTTTTGAGAGCCCATGATCCTCCATTTTCTGCATATATCACATTGGCAAAAATGGTGGCCCCTGGATTTGTTGAAACTAGTAAAACAATTTCCTTTCTTAGATCAAAAATATGTGCGTATTATGCGGATCATCGTACTCGATTAAATACTGAATCCAGAGTATATGCCGAAGATTATATTTATAATAACAGGCAAGTTTTATTTCAATTCTTATAAATATATAACCATAAGTCGTTTAATAGATTGTTGGTTTATTAGGATTACTATGGATAGTATACCAAGTATTGATGACTTGGGATCATATGTAGATGATACAGTTATTTTTCAATGTCTTAAGAATCCAATGGCACAAGTTAATGAAGAATGGTAGAATGAAAACCTGAATATAGCTAATGCATTTAGATTGTTTATTGCAACCACTATTAGAATATATATCATTAATGTTATAAAATCTAATGAAGATCTACACCTTTCAAATACACCAGCTTTAAATGAAGTCAAAACTCATGATTATATAATCCGCGAACTTATTCTCTCTCATAACAATACTACAAATTTCGCTAATGAAATTGATTTGAATCCATTAAATTCTTTAATGGTAAGTCGTAGTCGTGGTTATGGTCATAGTCACGATTATGGTCATGGTCATGGAGGATTTGAAAAAAAATATGAACTAAAACCTGATAGTTAAATATTCACATTATTTTATATTTGCTGTTGTAATATTATTGATTATATTATTTATAATAAAAATTAAAACTGCTAAATATTACTGATTTTCTTTATTATATTACAAT